ACTTGGTAATACAGTTGTACAATTTGACCAATATATATATATCCAAACGGATTAAGGGAATCCCAATGGGAAGTAACTTCCACAAATTGTTGATCTTTATTTACATGGACTAGAATTTTCATACATTAAAAGTTAAAAACCTTACTTGGATAGGCTGTGGTAAAGCTTTGCATATAAAAAGCACCTGCAAATATGTAGATGATATTTTAATATCAAATTGTCATGGTTTACTGGACACAACCCTACAATCATTAATTGCACATTCATTACAGTTAAACATACACTTCAAACTTTCCATTCCCAAATACGAATATGTTACAATGTGTTTTCAATGTTTATTACTCACACTAGAAATGTCCATTATTCAAAATTTTGTGGATGGAGCTCATAAACTCACTAGCATTTTTCATAATTGAGTTTATTAACTTGTGTAGAAAATTCAGCAGTATGCTTGGTACAGATATGGGTTTAGATTGAACAGTATGCTTGCTACAGACTATGGGTTTAGATTCAACACTATGCTTGCTACAGATTATTGGTTTAGATTCAAAGTATGCTTCCTACAGACTAGGGGTTTAGATTCAACAGTATGCTTGCTACAGACTTTGGGTTTAGATTCAGCAGTATGCTTGCTACAGACTATGGGTTTAAATTCAACAGTATGCTCGCTACAGACTATGGGTTTAGATTCAAAAGTATGCTTGCTACAGACTATGGGTTTAGATTCAACAGTATGCTTGCTACAGACTATGGGTTTAGAAGCCTTATATGGTACCACAACCTCTTAAAGATGTTCACATCTCCAAATTGAATCCTTGGGTTGTTGTGTGGGATAAAACTACTGACCACCACTACTCTAACCAGCAGTTGTTAATTCTGGTTGTGTATATATATATATATAGTTATGATCAACTAAGTTTAACATTAAAACATTAGTTCAGTTAGGTTTGTTTCTATATTAACTTTCATTGTCATATTTTGCCTTTTGTATTTGTGCACACAGTTTATTAATTTTTTTGAAGTTTCATATTACTATAAGCTTTTCCTTTTTGGCTTTTACAGAAGACTGAATGTTTCTTACTTCCTACAGTAATTCTTTGGGTGTTTACTACAGCGGTTACTTAAGTAACACTGGATAACAAAAAGTTTGCTACTATAGAAAACTCAAGTGAATAGGTGTAATTTGATGGTTCTGATTTCAAAAATATAGTCAGAATTTGTCTATCACTTCTATATTTTGAGTTATTCTAATATCACAATATTTTATTGACTGTGAAATACTATGCAATCAACTCATTACAATAGATATATATATTGTGAAGTTAAGTTTACTTGGACAGTTTAATGGGTAAAAGGCATACAGTTTTGATAACTTGAAAATTGACTGTATTGTATTGGTGTAAAATTCCAAATATATTGTTTGTATATGGTATTTGTTCTCAATATAAAGCAGTTCCTGGTGGATATGACCTCTCCTAATAGGGACTTCCTTTTAAATACAACTTTTTTTCTATGCACAGAACAATTTTACGTTGATATGACCTCTCATGAATGACATTCTGATAGATTCTACATACGACCATGATTTCTGATACGATACTTCCCTCTGCTCACAAGATTAGCTATTCTCGTTCAATGCTGCCCTCTATATGCAAATTTTTTCATTATGCATGCAACAAGCCTTCTGCTCCCCCTATTGGAATGATTCCAATATGTCTCTAATGTAAATCATGCATCACTTCTCTACCAATAGGAGCATGACATACGTGCACATGTGACTCCCTCTATACACCTTTACCGAACTATCACTTCTCATTTGGCAGTGCTTGTGCTCAGACATGTTCCTTTTTGTTTGTTTAAAGTTTCATGTTTGTCTTTAGTATAATCACGAAGTGATCTCCATTTATTTTCACTTCTAGTTTCTATTAAGTCTGTTTCTTAACTTCACTTTAATCCCAGTTTATTACAGTCACATTGTTATTTATACTTTTGATTATTGGTCGACTCTTTCTCATTATGAATTCCAAAGTTGATGTCACCACTTCAGGGGTCACACCTACGACTAGCTCTATGTCTCAGGCCTCAGGTGCAGGTGACCTTGCAGGGGATTTATCCACATTTATTTGCAGGGAGATTGAACATTACATGGGTCAACCTCTGTTTCTGGACCATCCCACTTCCTCCCGAACAAGCTGAGCCTGTTCAGGCAAACAAGGACTTGGATTGTCTACTTCCACTTCCTGATTTTGCCGTGCCTTCCCACACCCCCCTGAGGAGTCAGTTAGGCCTAATACGGTCTTTTTGGATTTCGTTTCTCAGGTGTGGGATGTTTTAACCCTTTCTCCTGTTTCCCATGAACCGTGTTCTTCCTTACTACATGACCAATATTCCCATCCGTATTTGGTTTTCCCCCTCTCCCCGGATATTTGCCTCACAATTAAGTATGGGATTAGCATGCCTCACCCCCATGGGCTTCATTGTGTAGACTGTTCTTTTCTGGACCAGCAATTGTTTGGTTCCATTTTGCCTGTTTGGGGTGTGGCCCCCAAATCTCCTGTAAGTCTGATCCATGCCCAATTTTCCCGCCTTTGTCTTACCCTCACAGCTCTTTTACTGTATCTCTTGAACTTGAAATCTGAACTGTACAGCCATGTTGATTCTCGCTTTATCTTCCTTGGCTTTGCAATGTTCATTGTTGAGATGGGGTGTTCCATGAAATTGCTTGTAGGTGAATATTTTGCTATGTAATTGCTTCATAAACTTGCCCATGCAAAACCATACCACCCATGGACTGCATGGGTAAAGCAGGAGAGGCTAACTGCTCATCCCTGCCATGCCTTGTATTGAATAAATCATTGTGGTCTGCTTTTAAAAATAGGGTTTTGTGGTCACCCATTGCACTGTCTCAGGTGATGATGTTCCTCCAGACTCTCCACCGCATTCTTATCCCCCTTTCTTCTAGTGGAGTATGGGAGTCCTTACCACTTTCCAGTTCTAAGATGCTGGGGTGGTTGACCATGGAGGCATGTTGGTAGCCTGTGGCTGGGTTTTGAATTTAGAGTAGAACCAATCAATATGAGTCCTCACACATATTTATGGTTAACTATATTCCTTCCTCAATCATACTCCTTCCATGCTGTGGGTCACAGTGGAGGTATGGGGGATTGTGCCAGTTCTATCCTTTTTGCTATCCCTCACTGTATCTTATTCCGAGGATGTTATTGCTTTTCGTATGGTTCCGGTCAATTTTGCTGTTGGGGGAGTTGATTTATATCATAGACATCCTTTCAATATCAGATGTCGGGTCCCCGGATCAATAGATCAAAGCTAACATGTGTCATGCTCAGGAGTTGGATTGGTTCTAGATCCCCCCCTCCCCAGTTTCATGAACTTAAGGTGAAGATGGTATGATCCTCATCCTAACCCTACATGGATGTTGGATCCCAGTGACATGGGTTTTTTGGAGGTAGTTGACTTGCTGAGTATGGACCATTATGCCCTAGCCTCTCTACACCTAGGGGCACATCCATTGTTTTACCCACTTTTATATTTTATGGGATTGAGTTACATATATATTTTCATGGTTACGATCACTATCCTGCCACAGTTCTCTCCCGATTGGATGTGCTTCTCTCTTTTTCCACACTTATCTACAACACATTTCATGGATGGGTGAAGATTATACCTGGTTCACAAGTGGTGAGGTTCTTCTCTTCGGATTTGACTCTCTCATTTCCAAGGGTATCCTTCAGAATATTTGGGGGGTACTTCTGTCATTCCCTTGCACCAGTCCTGCCACCTAATCAGTGTGGGATTTTAGCTAATCTTGCGAGTGGAGAGAATTGGGCACCAAGAAAATCATTGGGCTTCACATATGTGTTGTACAGTTTGCACATTTGGCTTGACACAATGACTGAATAAGAAGAGAGCAAGTATGCCATTTGCAGTTCTCATGATATGGTGTTAGCCGAAAGATCATCTGATTGACTGTTATTTTTATATGACTAATGTTTCTGGATATCTAAGCAAAACTAAACAATACTTTAAATATCTCATGGGGATGGTCTTCCAGTGCCACAACAAACAACTAATTGGGAGACAGAAGAGTTATTCAGTGAAGAAGACAATGAATCATCTTTATCCTCTTTATCTAGTAATTTTATTCCTGTGGCACCTCAACATGCCTCATCTGATCATACAAGAAGTGCTAAATGATCTGATTCGTGACTTGTCTCTATCAAAGCAGCATGGGGAACTTCTTGGCTCTCATTTAAAGCAATGGAATGTACTAACTATAGGAACAAGAGTTTCAATTTACTGAAGTCATGATCAAAGTCTTGCATCTCACTTCAGCATACAAGATACTTTGTGTTTCTGCACAAATATTGATGCACTAAAGGAAGAACTAGGTACTGAAAATCATCCTCAAGAATGGAGAACTTTTATCGACTCGTGTAAAGCTAGTCTGAAAGCTGTACGTTTGCACAATAGGAACATTAAACAATTGATTCCTGTTGCTCATGCTGTGAACATGAAAGAAACTTATCAAAGCATGCATATTATACATTCTTAAATGCAATTTTCAATGAAGAAATAAAGTTATTAAAGCAACAGTTATTTTTGTGACATATAACAATATTTTGAATAAATCTATCAGTAATTTTCAACATGATTTTTAGAATCAGCATCATCAAATTACTCAGAAAAAGTTGCATTTTTTCTATTAGTAGAGAAAAATTTTTCATTGTCCAGTGTAATTTAAATAACACAAGTGGGGACAGAGGAGAATATGTTAAGACTGGTGGTAAAAGTTTTTAGAAAAGCTACATATTATGTTTGTGTGTTAGTTTTCTTCTTATGCTTATCCCTGTTATATTTTAATAATTAGGTCAAATATTATGTCGTTTTCTTATTTTTTAGTTATTGTTTTGTGTCTTCATGGGCATTGGTTGTTGTTTGTACCATGAGAAAGTTGATGCATCCAATCTGACACGTCATTTACAAAACATCTGGCTTTAACTGTCACAAATAAAAATTGTATAGGGGAGGTATACAGAATTTCTTTGACAAAATGCATTGTTAGAAAGAGAGAGAGCCTGTTTTCAAAGAAATATACACCAATAACTGTGGTTTAGGATGGGAACTAGTGTTTATGAGTACACTAACTAAGGTATGGCAATTTGTATATTGTTCCTATATTTGATATAAGTAGTATGCTACTTACTGTATTGAATATAATTACATTTATTTTACTTTAATTTGTCATCAATTATTAAACTTGTATTAGAAAGATTGATTTGCATTGTTAATTTAGAATTTCTATTTAAGATTAACCTAAACCTCATATGCTGGCTGAATCTCATGAGATATTATTGGGTTGACAACCAAAAATATCAATATATCATTAACAGTGAGGCTACCCAACTGATGAAACAATGAATTCTAATCTTTGTAAGTAGATACATAATAAAAGTAATATATATATATATATATATATATAAAATATAATTAATTATACTGATGACCAGGTTAATTTTTAGTTTGGCTTTGTGTCATTGGAAGCTGTTGCTATTGTTTCTATTTAAATTTCTTTTAATGCATTCTGTGGAAACATGTTCTGCTATTTCATCTTTTTACTTGCGTAAGCTGTATTTCATTCCTTCTGATGTTTTCCAGCATTTGTTCCTCCTTAAATTCATTTCCACATTTAAATGCTGTTAATATTTCTGGAAATGTTTTGTAATTTTTCTATCTTTTCAACTTCCATGTACAATTATTTTAACTCTTGTATTATACTTTCATTTTCTTATCAAATGTAATAAAAGCCACTTTCTGTTCGAAATGCTTGACTCTATGTTGGTAACATACAAATTGATTCTTTGGTATGTCTCAAGTAGAAGTCTCGAGTTCAAATCCCCGTAGAATGGGAATTATTTATAACTTTTGTCGGTTAACATAATATAATATTTAGGGATAACAAGGGACCTGTTGGTCCATCTAGGCTGTCACATCCACTAAACTAAAGTAAAACTATTAAAAAATATCCTCAAAGCCAGCCTTTATCATTCACATATTTGTTACGTTTTCCCTTAAATTCACTGCCTCCACTATTTCTGAAGATAACTCATTCCAAAGGTTAACTACCTTGTTAGAAGATTTATGCAGTATTCTACATCTTGAACAGTTGATAGATGAAAAAAGATCGAACAATATGACTGCATTAATTCTGAGCTTGTGAAGATAAAATTGAGAAGTTTAAAGAACGATAAGTCTCCTGGACCAGATAATATTTCCCCAAGGGTTTTGAAGAAGGTTAATGATTGGATATGAGAGCCACTTGCTACTATTTTTATAAGGCATTGAATAGTGGGCAGGTACCAGAGGATCAGAAGTTAGTTAATGTCACTCCTCATTTCAAGGGATGTGATAAAAATTGTCCCAGTAATTATAGGCCTATTAGTCTTAAATTAGTTGTGGGAAAGTTTTTGAAAGTCTGATAAAAGATGAAAGATGTTTTGCAAAGCCATTTAACAAAGCTTAGAATTTTATTGGATAGTCAACATGGTTTCACAAATGGAAAATCTTGCCAAATCTTTTAACATTCATTGAAAAGGTTACTGCTTACATAGATGAGGATAAGGGTGTAGATTTGGTGTGTATGGATATTCAGAAAGCATTTGACAAGGTGGCGCATAAAGGGTTTGTAAAAAAATTATCTTCATAGGTGTGGTTGACAAGTTAGCAAGTTGGACAGAAGAGTGGCTGGATGGAGAAAAGCAGAGGGTTGTTGCAAATGGAGTTCAGTCAAACTGGATTAATGTTTTAGATAAGGATTTAGGTCATTTAGTAAGTTGAGCAAATAAATGGCAAATGGGTTTCCATTATAATAAATGCAAGATAGGGGAATAACCTTAACAGTGTCATGAAAGAAAAGGTCTTGGTGTAATCGTTGATCAGTCTGCTAAGCCATCCAAGCTGTGTGCTGTTGCTAGTGATAGGGCAAATAGGATTTGAAGTTTGTGTGATGTGAATTATCTGTTTGTTTTCCTTCATCTTTCCTGCCAAAGGTTTATTGCTTTTCAAGAACTGAGAGAGGGTTCAGAGTACAATAAAAAGGCACAATAAAATTTTCTGGTGTCTTCACTGCAATCAGGCACCTTACCTTTTATCTGCATCTCCATCCCCATTGTCCGTTGGAGGTACTTCATCTGTCGAGCACTGGGACTACATCTCATATGTTCATCTCTCATGATCTATTATGGGTAGCTCTTTCTTCTTCATCTGGGTACCATCTTCCACCTGTCACCATCCTTCACTTTTCTTTTTTTTGTTTTATATATATATATATATATATATATTATTTTTCAGGGGCCTGTCCCATGTTTTAACCAGGATCTCACTCTGTGGAGAGTGGTGCCTGTCCGGGTATACTTCAGTCACTTAGAATTGTACTAAAACCCGTACTGTAAGGCCATGTTGACTTCACTTTCATAATTTCCATGGCCACAAAACACACATTGTTCATTACAATTACATAAACTAGAGATGGGATGATCCACAAGATTGTTCATAGGTTATTCCTCACAATATCTTTGCTTCATAAATATGCACATTCCAGATTGTACTAACCCATGGACTTCAAAATTAAAGCAGAAAGGGATTGCTGCCCATCCTGGTTAGGATCATGGTCCAACTGTTTTCTCTCCCATTGGGATATGCTCCTTACAATTTTCTACCCAGATTTGTCACACTTTTTCCACATCTGGGTGAAGAGTATACCTGATACAGAAACTGTGCAGTCTCCCAGATATAATCCTCTTATTAGAGGGTTCCCTCCACCTATTCAGTGTGGGATTCTAGCTATGTTAGTGAGTAGAAGTGAGGTACCTTGTTGGAAGTTATAATTTTCATACACTGAAAATGTATTTTCGACAGGTTCTTACTTCTTCTCACACTTCCAACCCTTCTTCCTCACTGCCATCTGGTGCTTACATTTCTACTTAAACTCGAAGTGATAGGTAGAATAGCGTAGAGGGAGTCACATGGGTGGCTCTACTATTTGTAGAAGTTTGTTGCATAATAATTTGCATGTGAGAATCAGTTAAACCATGTAAGAATCAAGGGTTGGGGTGGGAGTTAAAGGCTTGCGACATGTGAAAAGTTTTTTGCAAATAGAGGGCAACACTGAATGGGAATAACTATGTATGTGAGCAGAAGTAAGTACCTGTTGGAAATACATTTTCAGTGTATGAGAATTACAACTTCCAAAACATACTTATCTCCATTCACACTTATAGCTATTACTAGACTGCCAGGGTTTCTTCCTTTGCCCATCTAAACATTGGTCTGATTTTTCCCAGCTTGCTCCAGTCTTTTATACCCCACTTAATTGTCTTCGCGATACTTGTTTCATGACACTCTCCACCTACGTCAATGTGCCCTCTATCTTGGTACTATATATAAGCACCTCATTCAGATAATGTTATCACTTTTTCTCGACAAAGTGTCACTAATGGGTTTCCCAGTATTATGATCATTCAGAGATACTTTGAACGTCCTCTATATTACCTAGTTGATTTTCGTTTTTTAAAAAATATCCGATTGGCATGCCGATTTATGGTATAAATTCATGGATTATTATTTCCAGCACAGAAGTAAATCAGGTCTCTCCTATCCCACCTGTGATATCTAGCATCGCACAAAAATCGGGGAGGGGGAGTTCTCTTTGGTTCTGGGGGGCTCTGAGGCTACATTTGAGGATGATCCTCAACATTCTGGAGGTAATTTAGATTTCCTGCACCTTTTTTTACTCTGTCAGACCTCACTGACATTACCCCACCACTCATTTGTAGTATGTAATGAGATTTTTTTGTACTTTATTAATTTTTTTTTTATTTGCAGACATGGTTCTAAATATCACTGTTTTTCTTTTCTTTTTAAGGTGAATTCAGAGAAGGATTTAGGAAAACCAGCATGGAATAACAAACTTGTTAAGAGATTTTCCAACTGCTGCTTATTGTCTCTTTCGTGTTATGTAGATTGCCATTCATATTCTGCAGGAGCTAGATTCTTTATGATCTGGTTAATTTTACAATACCCATGAATTCTAAAAATGTATTGAACGTCCAATTTCAGATGGTATGGTTTGTTGGAAACTGCTTTTAGCATTGACATAAAGGAATTTATGAGACAATGGCTTCTGTCAGAAAAGTCCCTATTACTTCTGGAAGTTCAAGGCAATCAGCTGTTGCATTGAGGAAAAGTTTCAGAATCAAGTCAAAACTTGAACAATATAACTTTGAGGCAAGAATTTGTTTAGGACTTGCAGATGAAGACTATGAGGATTATTTATCTGCACAGTTATATCCTCGAAGGCTTGGTACAGATAAGAACTCTGATGCTTACATTTCACGAAACTTTGTAGACTACTTGTACACATGTCAGGTTGGAAACCAGAAGCTCCAGAGGTCAGTAGTTGATAGAGAGTATGGGACTCAGCAGTTATTGAAAAATAACTTAATGAATGAAAAGTTTTTCCACCTTGGGGAATTAAATAAAGTATTTTGTTCGCAGTGGCTAAACGACAAGCAAGTTGCTTTTGGTACAAAGTGTAACAAGGTAAAATGTTCTTTTTTAAACACTTTGTACTATATTGTTCCTTGTACATCTTATATACAGTGTGTAACATAAAAATGTTAAGTACATACTTAAAAAATAAATTACAGAAAGTATATTTTCTCAGTTGATTGTTTTAGAATAAAAATCTTTTAATAAATTGAAGCTATTTCCACATAAAATTAAATTGATGATGTTATTGTGTACATATATTGTCATCCTAAATTTAATTATTTAGAAGACAAATGAGGGTATAAATTGAACTATGGTGTGAAAAACAAAAATGCATATATAAGATAGTACAGTTTACTATCTGCTACATGGCTGATCGTTTTGAAATGTGGAACTTTTTACCATAAAGTTTATTGTTTCTAAAAATGTTTAGAAAATTTGAAATAAATGCTAAAACTATTTGTGGAACCAAATAAAATATCATCTTTGATATTTTTTTTAAAACTTATGCAAAAAATTGGGATTCATTAGCTTTAAACATGATATTTCAAGTGTATTTTTGAATATTAAATCTTTTGTGAAGAATGAAATGTTATTCTGTTTTACAAACCAAGTTAAACTTTTACAGTTTATTGTTCAAGATGTTACAAATGGCAGAAGAGTTCAAATTCCAAGTCTAAAAAGTAGTGCTCTTAGCAAACCCCCAGAAAACCCTTGTGGGATTCATGCTATGGAGATCAATCCATCACACACAATGCTGGTGACAGGAGCTAAGAATTCTAATGATGTTGCAGTCTACAGACTTCCAACACTAGACCCCTTGTGCGTTGGAGAGGTAGGTTTTAAGCTACACTTGTCAGAATAAGACTAATGATAATTTAGTTGGCATCACTTTGTACATTAATATAATTACCTCTATTGACTTGAAATCAGTGTGTCTATAAATATACCATAAAATTATATTATCTTTGTTACTAGCAACATAGCACTCCCTTGTGGGCTTAAGTGACTTATCCACTAACTGCTGTGCGAAGATCCTTTTCTTCAATCATGATATTGAGTGAATTCATTAAACATGTGATACAAATTATGATAACCCAATGCATTGCCTTGCATTTATTATAATTAAGTGACTTACCAGATATTTGTTCAACTAACCACTTGATCCAAACTATAATATAGTATTAGGTTGTCAAGAAATTAATGTCATATTTTGGAACACTTTCACTAACTACCACCCAAAAAATGTACATCATGTGTAATAGTTAAACAAACCCCCTAAATGTCATGTTACTATAGCCTGCGTAATGTGTAAAGTTTAGTGTACTCTAATCCCTTGTAGTGATGGCACACGACGAGACACACATTCAGCATGTAATGATGTTTGAGTACAAGAAGGGAAACAATGCCTCTGTAGCCACAAAGAATATCAAAAAAGTTTATGGAAATGTTTTGAATGTTTGTAAGTGTCAACGATGGTTTGGCCAATTTCATTCAGATGACTTTAGCCTTAAAAACGGTGATGGCAGGGCCCGACGTATTGGAATTGATATTGATGTTCTGAAGATGCTTGATAAGTCTAACCCAAGACAACACACTTGTGAAATGCCCCTGAAATTGCATGTCTCTCATGAAACCATACGTAAACATCTAAGGAATATGGGAAAATTCCATAAAGAAGGTATTTGGTGCCTCACGAACTCTTCGATGATCATCATTTCCAATGCGTGAATGTTGCTTCGTCTCTTCTGGCATGAAATGCGCATGAACCGTTTTTGGACAGAATTGTCACCGATGATGAAAAACAGATTCTCTATGCAAATATTAAATGCCAAAAACAATGGCTCAATCCTAGACAAAAACCATTTCTGACCACAAAACCTGGACTCCATCCACAGAAAGGGATGATTTGCATTTGGTGAGACATCAAAGGAGTAATTCATTTCAAACTCCTCAATCCACAACAAACTGTCAATGCAGAGAGCTGTAATCAGCAACTAGAACATTTAAATCAAGCCCTTCATCAGAAACGCCCTTCACTCATCAATTGGAAAGGTGTTTTTATTCTCCATGACAATGCACGTCCACATGTGGCACGTTTGATGCAACACAAAATTATGGAGTTGGGTTGGGAAGTTCTCCCCCACCCACCATATTTTCCAGATATGGCACCATCAGATTATCATCTTTTTTCGTTCACTGCAACACCACCTTAATGCGAAAATGTATGCAAATGTGGAAGGTG